AGCCACAATTCATGCTACCTTGAATGGGTGGCAAAATTCTAATAATGAAAGCCAAGGAGCATAGTAAAAAAAAAAGGGAATGCAACTAAATATCAAGAAGACCAAATGCCAACAGCAATCAGTGTTGGAATTCACAATGAAGATACTGAAGAGATGGATTGCTTCTGCCTTTCAGGATTGCAAACTAGGACATGGTATAGCAGCAATGAAGGCTTTGGGAAAGATACTCAGATCTTATGACATGTCTATTCCCACAAATTTTATGATACTCTATGAAAGTGAAAGCAGGAAAAGAAAGAGTATTGGGGCTTTTGCCTTTGGCATTAAAGAAGGGCCTTGAGAATATCATGTAGAGCCAAAAAAAAAAAAAAACCCTTCCCAAACAAATTAATAAAATAAATAAATCCAGATTTGTTTTTGATTATGGGGATATGTTTGGTTTTCCAGAAGAGTAAGTTAAATGTCTCTGGACACATGAGAAGACCTTGCTCTTTTGAGAAGTCTATAATACTGGGAAAAGTGAAGGAATGGAAACAGGATGACCAGCACATGTGGCTAATCAAACACTACAATTTTCATTCATGCCTTGAACAGAATACTTAAAAAAACTGTAATAAGCTTATTTAGTCCTCTTTAAGACAATTGTATTTATGCAAAATTAGCTGCATAACGTTGCCTTGTGCCTTATTCTAAATAATGTTTAGTAATTTGTACAGCTATATGGATCTGCAGTTGACAGTACAATTTCAATGTTCTTATTGGTTATTGAAATTGAGAATGGCATGGTTTTATTCAAAATAATGTAATCTTAATGTATCATTGCTAAAACAGGAAGCTTTCTTTTAACATATACCCAGAATTTATCATACACTATGTTACAATTGAGACCACAAAAACAGAAACAGGGACTAAATAAATCCTTTTCAACAACCTATCTATAATGTTGATAGAGTGATGGTGCAGTAAATAACACACACTGCAAACATATAGTGCAAGTGCTACAAGTACTAAAATCTAATATATTACTGATAAGAACTGATGTAACTGAGCTGACATAACCCAATCCATCATTAGTATCTTTTGAATGAACCAGAATTGCCAATAGTGTGTAGCTTTCACTTGCTAAGAGATCTGATTCATGGTTCCACAGAATATAGGGAAGCTGTCCTATATGCCAGAATAATATACTCCTTTCCCTAGCAAGCTGATTCAATGTTTTCTTTTAATGGAGTATTATTTTAATAGAGGTTATATCCCACAACCCACTGTAGCATTTAAAAATGCTTCTTCCCCAATTTCATGCATGTGGTACAATACCTTGCTGAACATAGGTAATATTCTGGGAACAAAGAATATAGTGAATCTTTAATCTTGAATTTGGGAGACTGTCTCACAAAATTAATGTTCTGCTGTAGTAAGAGCAGAGAAATTGACTCCATGTCACATTATCACAATAGCAGAGAGAAGGGAAACGTTTTCAAGAAATGACTTCCATAGATGAAGTAAGCCTTACAGCCATTATCTTATAATAAAACATTAACTGAATGCTATCAGGCCAAAGAAGAGAGATTCCTAAAATAACAGTTGCACTTTCACTATATTCAGTTTGTTTATGTATAATTGGGTGATTCTGGGCTTAAATCTAATTTCTTAGCTTTGTATTTTAAGGCTAAGATGAATGAGCCCAATTAGCTGAATCTCAGAGGGAAAGAAAAAGTCCACTATAATGAAAGAAAATAATACAAGAGGCTTTCAAAGCAGGAAATATTATAATGGGTTTTGTCCTGAAATAATATTATAATCTAGTAGGAACAATTGCTGATTACATATTTTGGAGTAGGCACTGGGGATAAAGAAGCACATCCTATTTCTAGAAAAAAAGGAATTCTGCAGTGTGGAGTAAAATGGTTCATTGAAATACTGTGCCCTGTAGTCACTAAAAAAGTTACAGCATGACAGCTGCTGTACATGGGAAGGAAACAAATGCTGTGTGACCAGAGATGACTGGCATGACATGTGCATCTTATGCAATCATGTTCACAACTATCTTAAAAATATTCTGTGGAAAAGTTTTTTTTAAAATTAAAAGGATACCAAAACCATCAAACTAGCCCATAAAACATTATACTAGCACAGAAATAATATTACTTACTGAAGAAACAATCTACAAAATGGTTATATCCCAAAATAGTAAAACATTGTGAGGTACTTTCAGCAACCCAATGATTTATTATAATCCTCCAGAGATAACCCCTAGAAAATGTCTTTTTCTTTCTTAGGTGATGTTTTTGAACTGGCTTTCCTTGCTTCAGAGCTCTCTTCCCGTGGAGGCAATGAGGGTAGCATAATTAAGAGCCAATTACATTTATCTTGACATAATGCCTTTGACAAGCTGGTTTAGTAGGGAGTTAACTAGGCTGCTATTCAGATCCTTTATTTTTCTGAATGGCTGGACAGAAGAATTAAGCAAATGAATTAAGTGCCAAAGTCTAAGCTACTCTTCACATTTGCATCTAGCTTTTGCTCTATATACCCTAAGGAATATTTTTCTGTTTTTAGCTCTACTTGAGCTCTACATTCTGCTAGAACATTCTAAATTTGTGTTCCAATAAACTATGAATGCCAGGCATAAACTTTTTTGGGAGCTTGGGACAAATATGCTCACTCCCCCCCCAACATCTTGGCTAAATTAATAGTTTTTTAAAAAACCCATTGCTTCAATTGTTTCCAATAGGGATTTTAACTTTTTAATTTTTTAAAAAATACACCCTTTTGTTTACATAATTACTTCCCAGATAGTAGTTAATATAGACCAAAGGTGTCAAACTCAAGGCTCGGGGGCCAGATTGCAGGGTGCTTAGATCTGGCCCTTGGGACTGCCCTGAAAACAGCAAAGGGTTAGGCTGCAGTGCCTCTGCCAGCAAAAACGGAGCTTGGGAGGGCCACAGGCAGCCCTCCTGAGCTCCGTGTTTGCTGGCAGAGGGTTGCAGGAAGCTGTTGCAGCTAAAAATGGAGCTCAGAAGCCAGTTTTCACTGGCAGGGCGCTCGGGCTGCCATAGACACCCCTGACATGAATGACATCAAGCTGGCAATGCCCACCCTGGCCACACCCATCCTCATCCCCCAAAGTCAAACACAACTCTGATGCGGCCCTCAAATTGAGTTTGACTATTACACTATCACATTCAAGCAACCTGTGTTTTCCAACCCATCTGCTTTATAGAAATAAGCTGAACAAAAAGTTATTTGCTAGATGTGTATGCCTATTTATGTTTTTGGGGAAAAAAACCACCTTCTTAATTCTTGTATCAATAACAACATTAACATTATAAAACCTAAGTAAAATAAATGTATATATTTGCAGCTGTAGTAGTAAATGCATTTATCATATGTATATAACTGGGCAAAATATAGGCATATCATAAAAATAGAAATTGAAACACTTTATGATGGATTCAGAGTCCAGACATCACAGAGGGTTCATTCCAAAATGTCTCCCCTCCCTTTGGAGGGCTTATTCTTTTTATACAGTTTTTGCAAGCAAAGCAATGAGCATATAGCAACAGAATTATAATTGGCTTATTCTCCTTGTCAATCTCTAAGAACATCCCAGCCAGGGCAGAATCTCACATAACTCAATAGTTCCTCGTAGTGCCTGTTGTTGTTAATTAGGTGAGCTCATAGGTTAAGAGGTAACCAGCCACTGAGATCATGGCAGTGTGCTGCGCATGTCTTTATGTAACCTTTCCTCTATTCCTACAACTTTACTATAAAAAAATAGTAAAACGACAGAGCCTATAGACTAAAAGGCCCATACTATATAAACAAATCAACATAAATCAGTAAAAATGTACCACTGTTCCACCAATGAACAAAACCATTTGCAACCTATCAGCAGCATGTAATTAAGGGCTATCCCCATTCTAGCCAAAGGCTTGGGACAAAAGCCAGTCTTCAAGGCCCTCTGAAATGGCAGCAGCGTGAGAGCTTATACTTTTATCTTTGTATAGTTTTTATTTTTGTATGATTGTAAGCTGACCAGAGTTACTCGGTGATAAGATGTGTGGCCAATAAATAATTTATTTTATAAATAAATACATCAATCAATCAATCAATCAATCTCAGGGCGAACCTCATTCCAGAGGACAGGTGCTGCTCCAGAGAATGTTTCTGGAGTCTCAATAGATAATATTATATAATTATTCAATCGGATCTAAAGCAATAGCAGTGTGGACATTCCTGCTGTTATATTAGTTAGCATATACTTAAAACAAACATCATAACAATTTTTGCACAAGATGTAGCTTCAAGACCAAACATAAAGGTAGTCCTTCATAAGGAGTCTCTCACAGGTAGTATTGCCGTTATTTAAATTTGAAATTATATGAACCCCTCTAGTTTGTTCCCAACCATAATAGCCCACCTGAAGCTAGTAATACTGTAGGGACTATTCATAGAAGTCATTGAGAAGGTATAATCCCATTTAGTGTATGTAATTCCATCTATCAGCTTTGCTTCTCAAGATTCAGTTGCTGTTTATGGGCCCTTATCCACTATATCGCTTTACAGTATTCAGACACTGATCCAAGATATATGTATTTTGATTAAATGATATGGAAAAGTACACTTAACTTTAAAGATCCTGAAGACCTTCCACAATGATTGTATACAGATGTAAGTAATAGTGGGGCTAAAGCAGTGGCTTGTAGCATTCCACAATTCATTGCCAGGGCGTACAAACATGGCCACCAAATCACACTCTCAAGTGATTACACCCACAGGTAAAAACAAATTCATAATCTGCTCCTAACTTTGTTGAATTATTTTATATGCATACAGTAATAAAGGTTCACTTTATAAGAGTTGGCAACACAAATATGTATGTATGAAATCGCAAAATGATAAATATGATTTTGTAAAACAGAGAGAATGAGAGAATGAATTATTTAAAAAAATATACAGTAGCATGTTGCCTGACAGTTGCATTCTTTGAAATTTACCTGTCATGTGTCCTCATGAAATCCCAAAGTTTTGAAATACCATTCTGAAAAAAAGGTATAATAAGTAATATGTTATATTAACATTCAATCTGTTCCCATGCAAATCAGTCAACTTTCAAGTACATGTTTAGTTATAAATGCCAGCTATTTTGGAAGCCTCTCTAAATTTCCTAGTTCTGATGGAAAAGTTGCATATATGCTAACTAGCTGATGTGAAAAAGCCAGGCTTTATGGATGCTTCTATATATTTTTCTTGGCAATAAGGTGGAAGTGGTTTTCCTATTTTCTTCTTGGAATATTTTTTTTCAACAGTTCAATCTGGAATGCAGTTCTGAGATTTCCTGACGGCTTCCCATCATTATACTATATCTAACCTTTCTCTAGTTTAGCCATGAGCAACTATGCACTGCTACTGAGTTAAGTCTAAATATGGTAGCAATTGCTGTTATATTAGATTCCTGTATAAAGTCTTTCCTAAAAAGTCGGCACAGGACATATGCTTTGACATACAACTGACTCTGGCCTTCTAATAATCAAAGAATTCATATTGGCCAAGATAATTTAGTTCTTTCCATGCCAGTGGACAGATAGGATCTTTGGTAGTTCATCTTAACATTGTTATTAGGCTTGAAACAAGAAAACAATTATACAGATGGACCTCAAGACAGTAACATATTGATAAGGAAGAGCTTAAATATCAAAACCAACTCTTTCCAACCACTTGTGCTAATGCTGAGTTCAAATCTGTTCCTCCTTATCCAGCCCCCTACAGTTTCCAGACACCAAGAAAAAATATCAACTTGATTTGGACAGAGATTTATAACTAACACCAGCATACGGTATTGAGAATGCTTCACCCCTTACTGACCCATTGGTTTCATGCAGATGTGAAACAGGAGTGGGGAGAGCACTGAGTGCTGAGAAACTCTACACTGGCCCCTATTAACAGCAAGTGGAACTGACCCTGGGAGAAGGAAGAAAACCATTGAATTACTTTGGCTCCCGCACATAATTTTTTGAACTGATCCAGAAAAATATCACAATCAATCATACTGAAAGCCACCAACAGATCAAAAAGAACAAGGATGGATGCATAGCGCCCACCCTATTCACGCCATAAATTATCCACAAAAATGATCAATTGCTATCTCAGTCTGATACCTAAACATGAAACTTGACTGAAAGGGGTACAGATAATCTCCAAATTGGAAAGAGACCGAAAACTGCCCATTTTTCAGGGATTTTTTATAGTTAGTAAACAGTTGTGGGTTACTTCCTTTTAAAAAACAATTAATCGGTATAATGTTGTCCAGTTTAATAGCTTTCTCTATTTTACTTTATGTTGTTGTGGATTGAAATGAAAAATAATCTTTTTCTTTGCTACTAGTGTAATGCAATTCAGATCAGCTTTGTGCAGTTAAGTTTCTATTGTGCCAAATACCGACTTCACGCTGACAGTCCAGTATGAAGGCTGCTAATAATTAATAGCAAGCAAACAGTTACCAATGGTTATATGGCTCTGTGTACTTTACAGCACATTAAATCTAACGTACTTATGGTGATTTTATCAGGTAATACACAAAATGACAATGATTTATCTTCTATTCAACACACTCATATGTTTATAAAATAATGAAGACCTAACAAATGGGGAATCAACTTGGTCTTTCAAGGTTTCTCTTCATTGCCCCAGAGCAGTAACCATTAAAATGTTTACCATGCAGACATTCGCAATAGTAAAGTGGGGGCTCCACTACCACCTCTATTGCTATTCTTGTCAAAAGACTGAGGAATGTTTTTCTACTGTCTCATGTATATAGATAAAGTTAGTAGTAAAAGCAAACAATATTAACTCTGCAGTGCTAGCTGTACACAAAAATGTTTCCCTATTAGAAATTGCTTGAATGCTGACATTTGTCAAGTAAAAGAAAGAAATTCACAGAGAAAATGTATGTATGTTTTAAATATTCAGTCACTAAACAGATGTAGGCATTCCTGACAAGGACATGGAAGTTTGTGTTCTCAATACAGGCAATCCTTGACTTACAAACATTCATTTAGTGACCATTTGAAGTTACAACGACATTGAAAAAAGTGACTTATAACGTTTTTGCTTGACCCTTGCAGCATTCCCATGGTTACGTGATCAAAACTTGGATGCTTGGCAACTGGTATGTATTTACAGTAATAGTATTCCGGGGTCATGTGAATACTCTTTGCAAACCTCTGACAAGCAAAGTCAAGGGGGAGGCCAAATTCACTTAACATCTGGGTTACTGACTCAACAAATACAGTGATTCACTTAACAACTATGGCAAAAAGGTCATAAAAGAGGGGGGGGACTTACTTAATAGCACTCTTGCCCAGCAACAAAATTTTTGTGTTTTATAAGTTGAGGACTATCTGTAGTCACTCCCATACTTTGGAATTCCCAGTTGAAATTTAACCTCTTTCCTCTAGTCTTTAGGATTATTTTGAAGACACATCTGCTCTGCCTTGCATTGGGGGGGGGGTGTTGTCCTATCATTTAAAAGTGGAGCTGCCCATGTATGACATTTATATTGATGAAAAATATTTTTTTTTAATTACCTCTACAGATATTAGGGTTTTCTGGATATATTTTTACGCATTTATATTGCTAGCTACCTATACTCTGTGGAAATAGACAGCATCCAAGAAAAATAAATAACCAAGGTTATTGCATATTAACCACTTGCAAACTAACCAAAACAACAAAATAAATATCTTTTCAATCCTAAACTGTCTCCATGGCTCTATATGAATAAATATAAGATTACCTCAGAGGTGGGTTCCTACAGGTTTGGATCGTTTCGGACGAGTAGGTAGTAACTTGGCCAGCCATGCCCCCGAACCAGTTCAATCGGCGGCACCATAGGCGCCACCATCTTGTTTTTTGCTTCTGCACATGCGTAGAAGCAATTTTTTACTATTGTGCATGTGTGCATGGTGCGCATCAAGCGTGTGTGTGCGCATCAAGCTTGCATGCACAAAGCGTGTCCCTGAGAAAACCGGCAGTAACAGAAGCTGGAACCCAACTCTGGGTTACTTGCATTTAAAAGCTGAACATATCTAGACTGGTGGTGTTGGATCTTATGGAGGTGTTCTGCAAGTGAATAAGGAGCCCTTTCTCCCATTGTAGGAAGAAAGGACTAGCTGTTGATTGGATTCTTAAAAACAAGATGCTTATATGAGACAAACTACCCCCTTTATGCCATTCAGGCTTTATACTTGAAACTAAAATTGCTGAGTTTGTGCAAGGTACTAAATCTTGAATATGGATTAATAAAACAATTAATAGCATATCATAACATAGCATACCATGGCCAAGCAAATACATCTTATTATAGATTGCAGCTTGTTATTAAATTGGTTCCTACCACACCAGAAACTGCTCAATCTCTTTTTAGCCGTAGTGTGTGAATCTAGTATCAAGCCTCTCTGTAACTTATCCTGCTTCAGAAATATTGCCTTATTTTCCAGGCAGCTGCTCTATAATGCAGGTACAGTATGTTATATATGATATGATATATAAGAAAGCAAGGATGTAAAATACACATACCACCTACTGTATCTGGATATCATTTTCCTTAGTTATGAGTATTAAGCAAGAAAATGATCCTTAACATCCCCTGAAGGTACTCCAAGCCTGCCAACTCACCCCTAGGAACAGCTTTATGGCAAGAAAAAACATTTTGAGGGTATACAGAAAAAAGAAAAGAAAAAAAAAAGGATGGCAATGGGACAACAGGTATAAACATAAACCTGGGAAGAAAAGAGAAAGAAAGAACAATATTTAACGGAGATGAGGCAATCAGAGGAGAATTGAATAAAGAAAGAGGGGGAAAACCTTAGGAAAGTTTTCATAAAAGGATTAAATACCACAGATAAATGTTTTTAAGCAAGACCTAATTTTTAAGCTAATCTTAAAAGATAAGTATGTTTTTCATCAGGGAGGTCATGCTAACTTCTTTTTTTATGGATCCTATTTTTACCAGCAATATAAAAGAATTCCCTATTCCTAATATAGAGCAATTATTTGGGGCGGGATGGAGAAATAACTTTCCTACTAGTTATGGACATTTGCATCTCAGGCAATATAGTTAGGAAGGAACTGATATGCTGAAGAGCTGCCTTTAGTTAGCCAAATAGACTAAGGATATGACTCCATGCAAGGCAGTTTCAAATGTTATCATGAAAATGATAGAGATCCTCCCTCTCTATACTGTCCTGCATAATAATTGAATTGTTGAGCACAAACAACAAAAACACATTGAGGAATAGATTATGTGCCTAAGGGTAGAATGAAATACTTAATACTTTCTTAAATCTTGCACTATCCTGGTTTTATTAGCTAAACCATTATTTTGTTTAACTGTTTTCTATTTTAGCTAATGAAAACTAATTTTAGATCCAATGTAATTTGCAAAGCAGGACTAACTTGAATGTTCTAATTTGATTGAGGCTTTTTCTTTTTTTGCCAGCTGCACTATTGATGCCAGTTTCTGTCATGTACCATCAATAGCTAACACAACGAGTGACTATGGCAATGCCCCTGAATGCTTTGTACTTCTAGGTCAATGTGAACTTGATGGAGTTCATTTGTGCACATTTCCCCCTGCATGCTTTCCCCTCTGCATTGTTTAATTACATAAGCTTGGGAGGAATTTTCAGATCTTTCAGCTGTTTTCTTGTAAATAAAATAATGAGAAAGAGAAAAAACCTCCAAAGTTTCACCTTCACTGCTACCACTTAAAACATCGTTATTTAAAGAGTAATATAAAGCCAAATCTCCATATGGTATTGTGATATCAGAATTATCAATATAAATTATGCATCACAAGACAGGAAGAACATTTGGGCTTATATAAATTTATTTGTAAAAACAGCTCTTTTCTATCCAACATACAAAAAGCATAATCTTCCAATGCTTCCTGATGTGGAAGACAAAATCGTTGTCAATTCAAAAGTTATTTCTCATACCCTTAATAGTCAAGGTACTACAGTGAGTATAGTACTGGAGATG